AATGAAAACCCTACCATTCTCTACCCCTCACACGCCACTTTCATCCCCAAATTCTCTCAATTTCTTCATCAAATTTCCAAGGCAATTTAGAGAATTTTTGGTTGAATTTTGGTAGATATTCAATCCTAAGCATACAAAGGTAAGAATTCTTGCAATAAGATGTGAGAGTAATTTTTAAAGTGTTGAATTCTTATAGTTTATATGTTTAGGGTTTAGGAAGAAGAGGAAGTCTATCAAAAAGAGAGATTCTAGTGTGGAACTACCCAAGATCAAGGTAAGTAAATCCAACCTTTAAGCAATATTGAGTAGAGAATTTTCTTATATGTATTCATATGCTTGATTATTGAGAATTGATGATGGAATTGATGATGATCCATGTTTAGAATTCCACCATGAGGAGTGATGATTGTGTGTATAGAAATTGATGGAAGTTTGGATGAGTTAAGAAAGAATTTGAGTAGAGTTATGGAGTGTATTTTCCTGGCCAGGTTTGAAGTTGTTTTTAGGAAGCTTTGCTCGAAAATTTTGGTGGTTAGAGATTGTTATGGAAGTGTAATCACCTTAGTGCTTTATTTGTGCATACAAAGTGTTTGATGAAATTTCATAGAGAAGTGCATGTATGAGTATGTTGATTTATTATTTTGATATGAGTTTGTAGATGGTAGAGAAAGTAGAGAATGACATGTTTACATGCCATATTGCATTCTTGCATTTAATTATTTGAATTGAGAAAGAACAATAGGAAAGTCCATCTACATGCATACATGCATATAAGCACACTAAAGAATAAAGAGAAAGAAAGAAAAGTGCTAAAGAAAAGAAATTGAATACTAATTTCTAAAAGAAAGATAAGAGAAAAAAAGGTTGTTGCGATGGGGAATCCGTGAGTGACAAGAAGAAAAATATTCCCACATGTACGCCGCCTTCAGTGAGCGGCCTAAGAATAAGAAGAAGAATTTGTACAGTCAGTAAGAGTGCATGTGGATGAGGACTGTACCCAAAAGAATATACTTACATGCACGCTGCCTTTAGTGAGCGGCCTAAGAAGAAGAAGAATTTGTACAGTTCATAAGAAGTGCATGTAGATGAGGACTGTACTCACTCACACGGCCAGGGTTCCGAATCCATGCCTCAACCGAGTCCGATCGGTAGAGAATAAGAAAGAAAGAAGAGAATAGAAGGAGAAGAATAAGAAAGAAAGAATATAAAGAAAATAATAAAGAGAAAGAAAAGGAAGAATATAAAGAAAAGAAAGAATAGAAAGAAAAGAAAGAAACACAGAGAAGAAAGAAATTCAGAATATGAGCAACGGAGATAGAAGGGTAGCATAACGGATTTACTTACTAAGCAATTAGTGCTCACTCCGTTGATTTCTCTGTTTTTGCAAGAAATAGGTGAGAAGCGGTCGGATGGGATGTCGAGAGCGGAGGAGAATGGCACTACTGCCCACTGTTTTTGAGTTTATGTATATGACCCTTTTATTAATGTAAAGAAATTTTTGGGCACACTATTTTGTACTTAACTACATATATATTTTCTATGATATATTTAGTGACTTCATATTATATTTCTCAAAGTATACTAACTAGAAAGAGTTATTACAAAATCCATTTCTTTTTGTCAGCGATTCCAATTGTGCTGTAAATTTTTTACTTTATTGAAACTAGAAGAACACTTAATTAATTGTTTATAAGACAGGTGATTGGAAAGAGAAGCATTATCATGCATGACTATATCATCCATTTAATTTTCTATCTTCTAGATATCTTCTAGATTTGGCTTTGAAAGTACTCTTGTTGCTTCACAAAGCATTGATTTTTGTTTAGGGCTACTATCCCACACCTCCCCTGAGGTTTCAGCTTCAGTTACTCACAAGCTGAAGGTATGAAAAGTTAGCCATAACCTCCCTCCACATTTGGAGAATTATCCAATACCTCCCCTTATTGGCCTTAATTGATAAATTTCTTCCGTATAATTTATTTATTTAATCTTATGAGATTGATTAATATCAAACACATCTATTTTATTCCGACAGTATTAAAAAACCCTTGCCCATAGAAATATATTAGATTTCCATTTAAGTCTATTTGTTCTTTCCCATCATTTATCAATCTAAAAAAATATTATTTAATTCCTCCTACCTTATTGTTTTTGTAAAACATTAAAATGGTATAATAGTTTCCACATAATTTGTCATTTATTTATGAATTTTATTTTAATTATATTTTAAAGAAAAGACCTAATTTTACCAAAATTCATTTTTTAAATTTTTCTTTCCTTAAATGTTTGTTTAAATGTGTTATATAAATATGTAACCTTCATTGTAAGTTCAGGCCGATTTTTTGGATTTGTATATATTTTTATTGAAGGATTTAAGAAATTTGTTGAGTTAGTAAGTGATGGAAGGGTAAAATAGACATTTAATTTAAAAATTGGAAGGAAACAGAATATATCACTAACAATAAGGGTGTTTTTAATACTTTTAAACATAGTGGATGAGTGTGATATTAATTGATCTCATAGGGGGTAAATAGTAGACCAAACATAAGAAATTTATCAATTAAGGCCAATGAGGGGAGGTGTTAGACAATTCTTCAAATGTTAAGGAAGGTCAAAGATATTTTCTCACACCTTTGGGGTGTCTGTGACTAAAATTGAAACCTCAGGGGAGGTTGGGTAATTGTTTTTTCGTTTATCATGTTTCTTTGATATCTTAATAAAAAATTTAGATGTATGGATCCCATAAAACAATCATTCCTTATGTTTTCCATCTCCTTTCATTTTAATATTTATATCACTTTGTCTATTTTTATCTACACGTTTGTTTTAAGCCTTTTCCTTTCTAAATCCATACCAATTAAGATCTCTTTAAAAGACTAGTTTCTGATTGTTTAATCTTTAATTTTAATCATTCATTGCTTGACTATAAAAATAATTAACTTCACAAATATTGAGCAAGATAGTGCCGCAGCTCAAACCCACGTTATTTTCTTTGTTAAGGGGGTATAAATGTATTAGGGTTAAAATGGTAAAATCATATGCAGGCCCAATCAGTCCATGTTGTAATGAAAGGCCCATGAGACACTCCTAAACCCATACTGTAGAAAGGGCACAACAAGAAGTTCAGAAGCCAGAAATAGGGCAAAGGGTAAACCAAATTCAAACCTATTCTAGCCCACAATCAGTGGCCCAAAAGCCTAAACTTAGGCAGAAGGTCCAATGAGGGATAAAAGCCCAAAATAAGGCAAAATATAAATCAAAAGTAGGCCTGAGCTAGCCCAAAGCCCAAGAGACAGCTAAAGAACTAAGAGTTAGAGCTAGGTGGCGCAAGACTCCAAATGAACTCTCAAGCAATCAAAATGGTTTTCTTGAGAAGATCTTTAACTAGAGCAAAAATTCCCAAATAAAAATTAACCCAAGATCAAATTCCCAAATAGTTAGGCAAATTTACTTTGTGTAAACTAATAAGACTGGAAATCTTCTTTAATATATAAAGTAAGCTTGTAAATAGTTTTCATTAAATTGTTTCTAAAAGTTCACAAGCAATAATCTTTTGACAGATAAAGTTGGTAAAGTTTTCTACATTTTCTTGTTTCAATAAATTTGTGTTGTTATGCTTAAGAGTTGAAATGTTGAAAGGACGTTGAATATTCTCATTTGGACTAAGGGTGTTCAAAAGCGGTTAACCGAACCGCTTTCCTAAATCGAACTGATTTTTCATTTCAGAAATTTTCTTGAATCGAAACTAAATCGATTAACTGCTTTAAAAAAACTAGTTAACCGGTTTTCTCCTTAAATTGGATTAAACTTTTTTTTTTTTTTAATTTTCCTGAATTAAATTGTAAACATCAACAATACATATCCAAATAAAAATTAAACATTCATACATATCCATTGATCATAACTAACATTACATTAAAAATTGATTGTGTGATAAAGTTGGTAAAGTTTTCTACATTTTCTTGTTTCAATAAATTTGTGTTGTTATGCTTAAGAGTTGAGATGTTGAAAGGACGTCGAATACTCTCATTTGGACTAGGGGTGTTCAAAAGCGGTTAATCGGGGCCGGTTAACCGCTTTCTTAAACCGAACTGATTTTTCATTTCAGAAATTTTCTTGAATCGAAACTGAACCAGTTAACTGCTTTGAAAAAACCAGTTAACAGGTTTTTCCCTTAAATTGTAAACATCAACAATACATATCCAAATAAAAATTAAACATTTATACATATCCATTGACCACGACTAACATTACATTAAAAATTAATACAAATAAATTTAATTTTTATTTTATTTTAATATATAATATCTGTTAAGATTATTTTTTTATTTTAATTTAATATATATATACATTTTAGTAAACCGTTTAATAAAATCAGTTTCGGTTAACCGGTTTACATTTTCACCCAAACCAGAAACCGAACCTAAAATCCAGGTTTTTGAATTCTTTGAACCATAACCGAACCAGTTTTTCAGTTCAGTTTCTATATTTTTTTTTTAACACCCCTAATTTGGACATGATTAGCTTGTATGAGTTAACGGATTTTAATTCGCTGGCTGAGATTGATAGAAACTTTATTGTGAAATGTACACTTTTATCTAATTTGATCTATATGTTTTCTTTTTAAATCAAAGATTGTAATTGGTGTTGGTCTTGATTGAAATTGGATGCTTTTGAAGATTGTCTTTAAAAATGAAGATATTGCTTGTAATTGTATAGTGAATGAAACTTTTCTTAGATCTAAAAATGCGAAAACTTAGAGTTTATTCCAATATAGAGTTTTACATCAATCATTGATTACAATGATGATTGTATTGATTCTAGATTTAGATCTTGATCTATGATAATATTTTTCTTTTGGATAAATAAGATCAACATAGATCATATTAAAGCACAACTAAATCATAATATTCAAATAGTTTACTAGCCACTTCTTTTTGGTTGAGGCGGGCTAAGAAAACTATATACAATAACCAGTTACGAAGAAGATAATATCATCATCAGCTAGAACGGCTGCCAGCAAAATATGCTAATGGTCCAACAATAGCAGCATTGATATATGTGGCTGGTTCTGAGTGACTATAGTCACCACGATCATCTGGGTACTCGTCATTTTGATTTGGACCACCCACAATGGCTCCAACTAAAATGTTAGGGTTAGGGCTCGATGAGTAAAAGAATGGTTGGAAACCCTCATCACAACCTATGTTTTGTGGGTGATTTGAAACAGAAGGCAAAGAAGACCCTCTATGATGAATTCTCCCTGGAAAATTTGGTCCAAATCCAACCATGTAAGACATTTTAATTGGGTTCACACCTAATATGTAGTCCACCTGAAATCCCCAAGATAAAAAATTGATCGATGAAAAGAAATCAAGAAACAATTATGAAGATGAGTTAATGAATTAAGCAACTTGCCTGTCTTTTTGCAAGGTTTATCAAGTGATTTGGGGTGACCACATAATTGCCACAGTCAAAATTGTGCTGTGTGGCTGTCATGTGCTTAGCATAAGTGGTAAGAAGAAATGTTATGGATGTAACGTATTGTAGATTACTTTCAGGTAGCTTAAACATGAGCCCACCTGCATTTCAATTAATACAACTCAGTAAATTATTAAATCCACCTTCTAAAAGATAATTATATTTGCACACATATATAATTAATGGCGTGAAATTTTATAAGTTTACCTTGTGTGTATTGAGTAGATGTCATCGGCGAGTTGGGTAAAATCTTGCACATGAAATTTTCGGCTTCTTGTCTATATTGCTCAAAATTTGTATCCTTGTTCAGTAAAGCTCGCTGGAAAATATAATCAAACAAAAATTGAATTAAAAAAAAAATAAAAAAAAATAAAAAATTTTTAAAGGACTTGATAAAGTGAAAATTTACCCTTGCCAGGAGAACATGAGCTCCAGCATATTTGTTGTCCCAGCTGAATATGTCAGTGCCACTATCATCTCCTACGGATTTCAGGAAATTGAAATAAGTTACATCATTTGTTGCGCTAAAAAGCCATGCAGCTCCCCACATAAGCTCATCCTGTAAACATATGCACATAAATAAATTAAGGGTATATTCAATATTCATCTCCCATTTAGTTTGCTATTATCACAAGTACATTAATCACTCTACCAAAAAAAAAACCATCTTTTATATAATGATATAATATAACTTTTGCAAGGTCTTTAACAAGTTTTAAGTAAGATTTTTTATGAGTTTTCAATATTTTATAAAGAAATTTAAAACATTCCAAATTGTTAGATCTGTCTCTGGGTCAGGGCCAGACTTTCAAACTTGGGAGCCCATTATTTGAAAGCCCACAACTAAGGGGTCAACAAAGGAAATTCAATTTCAGTATTGAAATTATAAACAATATTATTCAATTTTAAAAACTAATTTGAGGGCCCTCTTGGCCGTTGAGTAGATTCGTCATAAATTCATAATCTACTTGTACTTTATGCAAATCCCAAGTAAAGTGAACTATAATTCCCTATAAACAATTCGACAAAATCATGCCTTAATTCTCATTCTTTATAAAACCCAACCCACAACATAAATTAATAAACTTTAGTAATTCCATCGGAGATTGGAAAAAATTAAAATAAAATAAAAGAATAAACATGCCTCAAACTTACAGTATATCCGGAATATGAACAATAAAAAGGGCAAACGACAGATCCGAGAGAGTCACTATAAGCACCACGATATTGCATTGCAAATTGCATAACTTTCTTGGCTGTTCTTAGCAACAAATTTGAATATTTTAGATCAACTGTACTGAACACCATGGAGGCTGCCGCCAATGCCGCTGCGGTCTCTCCTGCCACGTCCGAGCCAGGGTTGCTCTGTGAAACCGAGTACACGGACCTCACTGTGTCCATGTCTTCAGGTCTTTCCCAGCACTTGTGGTCAACATTGGGATCACCCACGCCAACGTAGAGCTTGCCAGGGGTGGCTGTGGCACATTTTAGAAGGTAGTCTGTGGCCCAACGAATGGATGTTCTAGCGTTTGAGAGTTGTGAGCCCAAATTTTTGCCGTATTCAAGTGTGCTCCAGGAGAGCATTGTGGTTGTGAAGGCCATTGGGAAGTTGAATTTTACGTTGTCTCCAGCATCGTAGTAGCCTCCAGTTAAATCCACCTGAAGGAAAAAAAAAAATTGTAAATAAAAACACTATGTTACACTCGGAAAGTAAGAAACATTCCATATAACCAAAGTGAAAAAAATTAAACAACGCTTATCAAACACATTTTAAGAAGATTTTGTACTTTGTAGTCTAATAACCACACGTGTCAATTGGAGGGAAAAAGAAGCATGAAAATCATGGACAACGAACCACCAGAAGGAAACAAAAGGAAAATTTGAAGTTACAAAGTGAGCTCTACTCGACCAGCAATACAAATGTTGCAACCATCATTCTCAGTTCAACAAACAGAAATTCACTCTTAAAATTTAAATAAATCAAAGAAAAAATATTCAAAAAAAGAATGACAAAGAAGAGTATACTTGGGCAAGCTTGCCATCTGAGAGGCCGGAGTTGGATCTCCAAGTGATTTGTTGAGTCTTGGGGAGTCTGCCTGACCTCTGGCCTTGAAAAAACAACAAAGATTTTGCAAGAGCCTCTCCATAATTAGGGTTACCATGGACATTTTCCATGAAAAACAAAAGAAAGACGCAGCAGCAAGCCAAAGAAGCTCCCCTTCTCGTCGCCATATTTTGGTATTTGCAAAAATGCCAAATGGGTTTATTCTGAAGAATTAGTTTATGGTTTAGTTTCAACAATGAGAGACGTTTATATAGGAGAAAGAGCTCAAGCTCGGAGAAATGTATAAAAGCTTGGCTATTCAATATTAATAAAAGCATACAATGTATAGGTTCAATATATTCTATTCAAGGAAATAGAATATATGGAAAGATAATCATCCTATTAATAAAATTAATCAAAACTATAAATAAAATTAATCAAAACTATAAGGAAAAAAATATATTGTACAAATCATGATAATAAGGGAATAAAATCAGTTTATTCCTTAATAAAGCTAAGTGTTAATATTATACCGCAATATTAGGCTTTTGCTTACTGCATGAGTAATTTGTTATTAATTATTAAATATTGCCGATTTGATATGTTCAACAGCGTGGCCAACATTTTAGGGTTTATAATGATGAAAATTACGTTAGTCCATGCAATGTAATAATGTATGTAGAAAACAAAAGTTTTTATTCATTTGAGTTGACTCAGCTGCTTGATTCTCAATTTTATTTTCTTTTGATTCCCAAGTTAGTTGTTATCTTTTTCCATTTATTTTTTCTAATTATAGATATATAATCTTGCTAATAAAGCTTTACTTTTATTCCCAATATAAATTCTTGATTTTACCTCTTTCATGGTAACTCAGTTGAAAGAGTTAACTCGAATGCTAGCGACTTTCTTCTGATACTGAAGTCTTACGATTAGGGATGGGCACAAAGCCTGTCCCCGTGGATTTTCCCTGAATTATTCGGGTTTTGGGCCAGGATCGGGCCTAAGATTAGCCCCGGAATTCAGGGCCAGGATAGGTCTTGCCCCAGCCCCATTTTGCCTCGGCCCCGAAATCCCCAGCCCAGCCCAGCCCGTATATATATATTAATTTTAATAATTAAAAATCAATCAATCATACATATATTAATTTTAATATTTGAAAATATATCATATATACCTATAATAATTTTAATATTTGAAAATCAATCATATATACCTATCTATGTAATATATTATTTGTTGTTTTGATTGATTGTAATGAATCAATAAATCATTATAATTTTTTTTTTTTTTTTTTGTCCCTCATTGAATCATTATTTCAATTGTATTACATAATTGCCTATGTTATATTGTGATGGCTATTTATTTAAAATTTATTATAATATTGAAAGCTTTTCTGTATATTTGTCTATTGAGTAAAGAGTTACACGAATTTCTCTTATAGAGGAGAACACATCAAATCAGTAAAATAACCAAAGAATAAAAATAGAAAACTAACTAAAAATTAGCTATCTAGCTGTACTAGCTGATTCCTAATTTACAGCTATCTAGCTGTACTAGCTAATTCCTAATTTGACTTATTCTCATTTACAACTAATAATTCTCTATAATTACAAATATTTCTTTCCTTTTCTACACTCCCCCTCAAGCTGGTTTGAAGATATCCTCCATAACCAGCTTGCCAATTAGCTTGTTGAATTGCCCAATAGGAAGCCCCTTAGTAAGCACATCTGCGACTTGTTGAGTAGTGGGAATGTAAGGCATACAGATCAATCCTTTCCCTAGTTTTTACTTGATGAAGTGTTTGTCGACCTCCACATGCTTTGTTCTATCATGAAGCACTGGATTATGAGCAATTGAAATGGCAACTTTATTGTCACAATACACTTTCATGGGTAGTGGATCAGAAACATTCTTCCAAGAGTCTCTTAATCCACAACAACTCACAAATCCCATGAGCAACTGATCTAAACTCAGCTTCTGCGTTGCTTCTCGCCACCACATTATGCTTCTTACTTTGCCATGTAACAAGATTGCCACCAATGAACGTGCAATAGCCAAAAGTTGATCGTCTATCAATAACATTTCCAGCCCAATCCGCATCAATATAGGCTTCAACTTGCAAGTGCCCACGATTCTTGAATAACAAACCTCTTCCAGGAGTCCCTTTCAAATACCTGAGAATTCTATAGACTGCATTGAAATGTTCTTGTCCAGGCGAATGCATAAACTGACTAACCATGCTAACTGCAAATGCTATATCTGGACGAGTATACGACAAGTAAATCAGTTTTCCAACAAGTCTCTGGTATTGTTCTCTGTCCAGGACTTCTTCAGGTTTAGGAGGCTGTAATTTGAGGTTAAGCTCAATAGGTGTTTCTGTTGGTTTACACCCTAGCAAGCCTATTTCATTAAGCAAATCAAGGACATATTTACGTTGATTCACAAATATACTTCTTTGGATCTAGCAAACTCCATCCCAAGAAAGTATTTCAATGTCCATAAATCCTTGATCTCGAAGTCGGCTGCAAGTCTCTTCTTCAGTCTTTCTAGTTCTTCATTGTCATCACCTGTCATTACTATATCATCCACATAAACAATTAGAATAGCAACTCTACCTTCTCTACCATGTTTATAGAACATAGTATGATCAGCTAGGCTTTGACAATAGCCACAATTCTTCACCGATTTCCCAAATCTCTCAAACCAAACTCTAGGGGACTGCTTGAGGCCATATAACGACTTCTTCAGTCTACAGACTTTCTTTGATCCCAAATTTTTCTCAAAACTGGGTGGAAAACTTATAAAAACCTCTTCCTCAAGATCACCATTTAAAAAGACATTTTTTACATCCAATTGGTGTAATGGCCAGTTCAAATTTACAGCCATAGATACTAGAATTCTAATAGAGTTTATCTTGGCTATTGGAGCAAAGGTCTCCTGATAATCAATCCCATAGGTTTGAGTGAACCCCTTAGCTACTAATCTTGCCTTATACCTTTCTATGCTACCATCCGCTTTACACTTCACAATAAAGACCCATTTGCAAACTATAGTCTACTTCTCCTTAGGCAAGTCAACTATCTCCCAAGTACCACTTCTCCTAAGAGCATTCATCTCTTCCATCACTGCTAATTTCCATTTTGGATCACCAAGAGCTTCCTGAATGTTTCTTGGGACAAACAAGTGTGAGATTTTTAAGGTAAATGCCCTATGAGTGTGAGAAAGTTTGTCATAAGAAAGATATTGAGCAACGGGATATATAGGATTCTAGTGCGATTTCAGATTCCTTTTCTAATAGCAATGGGAATATTAAGGTCTGATGATTCTTTGCTAGGGAAAATGATGGGAACTAAAGATGAGTTAGGATCGAACATGCTTGTGATATTTGCAGGTCCAATCCCCGAGGGTTGTGATTGATCATTACCAAGAGTAACTTGCTGCCTTTGACTCTTTTGATGATGTTTTCTCTGAGTACAAACCAGAAGCTCAGTGTTAGAATTATTTTGATTCGGCTGTAGTAGTGATTCTCCCCCTGTTTCAGATACAATAATGTTTGGCATTATATTACCAGAACTTCCTTCATTGTTCTCACATTGTTCCTGACTTTGAAGGCAGGAAATGGTAGGAAGAGAGGAATGAGGTATAGTAGTCAAAATTACTTTTGGTAAAGGATTTGGAGATAAATCCAAAAAAATTTCTTCCATTACCTCAGTCTCCCCCTAAAGAGAACTTTTGTGAAAGTAGGATTTATTTTCAAAAAATGAGACATCCATACTCACATAAATTTTCCTTGTTTAAGGATTATAGCACTTATATCCCTTTTTTATTGGAGGCATACCCTATGAACACACATTTTTCTGCCCTTAGATCAAGTTTGGACTGAGTGTTATTAGGTATACGAACAAAGATAGTACAGCCAAAAACCTTTAAAGGTAAATCTAATTGCACTCTAGAGAAGGGAAAACGTTTTTTAAAACATTCTAGAGGTGTGCTATATTTTAAAACACGTGTAGGCATTCTGTTAATTAAATAAGTTGTTGTTAAAACCACTTCTCCCCAAAGATATTTTGGAATATTCATTGAAAACATTATAGCATGTGTTACTTCAAGTAAATGATTATTTTTTCTTTCAGCAATCCCATTTTGCTGAGGAGTATCGACACAAGTGGACTGGTGATGAATACCTTTTTCTTTCAAAATTTTTTCCAAAATGCCTTTATAGTGTTCAATCCCATTATCATTGTGAAGAACCCTAATTTTCTTTTGAAATTGAGTTTCAACCGTTGTGTAAAAATCTTTAAAAAAATTTCCAACTTCGAATTTTTCACTTATTAAGTAAACCCAACATAGCGGTGTGATCATCTATGATGTGACAAACCATTTTTTCTTTGAAATAGTAATGACTCTTGAAGGTCCCCAAACATCACTATGTATTAAATAAAATGATTTTGAAGGAATATAAGGTTTTGGCAAAGAAGTAGTACGATGACTTTTAGATAAGCAACAACTTTCACCATAAAATGATGAAAAATCCAAACCCTTAAATAAAGTAGGAAACAAATGTTTAAGATAAGGAAAGCTAGGATGTCCCAGTCTTAAATGCCGAAGCACTATTTGTTCATAAGCAGAATTAGAATTAAACTACTAAGGCCCTAAGCCTTTTTATTCCCAGAGAAATCATCATCAAAGTAGTAAAGGCCACCAATCAACTTAGCACTGCCAATCTTCTTCCCCGAGGTCTGGTCCTAAAATTCATAGTAAGAATCACAAAAAATCACTCGACAATTAGAATCTTTAGTTATTTTACTCACAGACAAAAGATTACAAGCTACCTTGGGAACATGGTGAACAGAATTAAGGTTTAGTTCTTCAGATAATTTAATCAAACCTTTCCCTGCTATTGATGAGAAAGTACCCCACAGAATTTAAAAAAAACTTTTAGGATGGCTCTGATAACATGAAAGCTTTTCTGTATATTTGTCTATTGAGTAAAGAGTTACACGGATTTCTCTTATAGAGGAGAATACATCAAATCAGGAAAATAACCAAAGAATAAAAGCAGGAAACTGACTAAAAATTAGCTATCTAGCTTTACTAGCTAATTCCTAATTTATAGCTATCTAGCTGTACTAGCTAATTCCTAATTTGACGTATTCTCATTTACAACTAATAATTCTCTATAATTACAAATATTTCTTTCCTTTTCTACAAATATATAT